CGAATCAAGAGCACCCTCCATCGCGGCTTTCGCTCTCCCTCGTTGTCTCTCATTCTTTCTCTTTCGCTCTCTGTTCGCCTTATCTTTTTTGTTCTGTTTTTTTTCTTTTTTTTTTTTTTTTCTTGTTTTTTTTTTTATTCTATCTTTTTTTTTTTTTCCTGTTCTTTTCGTTCATCTCTTTCTTTCTTTTTGTTTTGTATTTTCCTCTTTTCTCTTTTTTTTTATTGTTCTTTTTCTTCTTTATTTTGTTTTTTATTTTCTTTTCCTTTTTTTCTTTTTCTATTCTTTTCTCTTTTTCTGTGTTTTTTTTTCTTTTTTTCCTTTTTTTTTTTTTTTTTTTTTTTTGTTTTTTCTCTTTTTTTATTTTTTCTCTTTTTCTGTTTGATGTTTTTCTTTCTTTACTTTTATTTCTTTTTTTTTTTTTTGTTTTTCTTTTTTCTTCTTTTTTTTTTTTGTTTCTTTTCTGTTTTTGTTGCTATCTCTTCCTTCGCGCTCTCCTCTCCCTCTGCTCCTCGTCTACTCTCTCTCGCTCCGATCAACCTCTCTCCTCTCTCTTCCTCTCTCCTCTCTCTCTCTTCTTCTCTCTCGCTTCTCCTCTTCCCTTCACGCTCTCTCTCTCTCCCTCTCTCTCTTCGCTCGCTCACACTCAACTCTCCCTCGTTGTCTCTCTTTCTTTGTCGGTGTCTTTCCTCTCTTTCTCTCTCCCTCTCTCTCTCTCTCATCTCTTCTCTCTCCTCTCTCTCTCATCTCTCTTTCTCTCTCACTCTTTCCGTAGCGCCGCTCTCTCTCTTTCTCTCTCTCTCTCTCTATCGCCTCTCTCTTCACTCTCTCTCTTCTCTCTCTCTCTCTCTTCTCCCACTCTCTTCCTCGCCTCTCTCTCTCCCTCTCTCTCAATATTCTCTCTTTCTCGAGGCCGGTATGCGCGCTGCCGGAGGGCTGTACGACTGATTGTCTATAGTGTATACAGACGGCTGATTGTCTATTCAGACTGATTGTCTGATGGATCTTCTGACCTGCAAACCGTTTCGTGGAGCTAGCAAGCGGAACGTTGTTATATAACTCACATAAATGTTATATACTATAGTATATGTTAATTTCGGGTTGGTTACTCTCTCTCAGAGCCAGCCCATGTTTATACTATGTTAACTCGGTTTCCCAGCAGCGGCCAGCGATGGTAGAAAATTATGAAAAATTGCCCTCTAAAAAGCTGCTTGTCTGGCAGACAAGGCTACCTGACAGATCTACTTGTTTCCGTGCGAAATGGACAAGTACGAACAAACGGATAGTCCCTTATTTCAAAACACTGGGCATGGTTATCAGGAACCTCTCGAATAAATGTTTGTTAGGGCATCGTTATGAAAGTTGCCACGAGATGCGCCGCGTACAGTTGCCCGTAGCTGGAAGCTTCCATCGTATGTCGTTATATCGTAACAACTATTTGCCAAGACAGAATAGGTAAGCACTCGTTCCATTTACCTACACAAGCCTTACAGGCTGAAATAGGACTGCCACCTGTACCTAATAACGCAGGCAAAACTACACCATGACTATCACCAACTCCATGCACTGGCGAGTGGCCACTGGCAGTTGGCATATTAACACAACTGACAGTACAGAATGCCATAGAAATTATACGATTAAGAGCTAACCTTCTTCAAGCAAATTTAGCTTTGGAAATTTCACCTGTGACATTGTAGCCTCATACATCCAAGCATGCTATTCGTTTGCCCCTGAGTTTAGCATCAGAACACCTGCCGTCAGGTGAGCGCTGTCGCTCTGTGGCACTTGTTAGAAGCTGTGAAGGAGTGTGGAGGGTGTCCCCACGTCGTGCGCGGTGACCGCGGCACGGAAGATGGACATAAAAATGGAATGATATAATATCTAGTGGGAACGAGATCATAGCTCGTGGGAACGAGATAAAAAAAAGATTTTCCCATGTCCCTTCCCGTGCTCCGTAAGTTGGTGAATTTTCTCATGACAGAAAATTGTTAAATGGAAATCACTTGCCACGATCCCCTACTGAGCTAATGTGTTGCCCTGTGGGTGAGAGAATCGCTATGAGTATAGGTGCTAATATAAGTTATGATATCTCAAAGAAAATGCACAACTGTGCTTTTTGGGTTTGATATAACAAGTATTTTATGTGTATAATATTTTCGTTACAGCCTTGTTTTCCTGGCATCCTGCCCTGATGACTCTTGCAGTAAGTTCACAGTCACATTCTGTACTCATAATGCATGCCATCAGCTGTGATGAAAATTAACAGTCGGCCAGTTGCCCAAGGCTAGTAAAAATACCATTGGGCCCCAGAATTTTATCAGAATGTTGGCCAAAATTTAAGGATTTGTTTGCATAGGTAAACGTTCTAAAATCAATGTGATCATTACGGTTTGAGTACTATAAAATAGTCTATGTTTGCACCAAAATTGAGATCATTTCTTTTTCTCATTAATAAAGTGAGGGAGATGTGAATGCGATCGTTTTTTCTGTTCAGGTAGCATTTTTCATGACGGAAGCCATTCTGATGTTCTCACCTGAGAGCTCACTGCTCTCGAAATACAGTCACGCAGCCAAGACCACGGGGCATGGTCTGTTACAGGCAAGTATAACACCAACAACTAAACAACAACAACGTAAACATGATCAAAATAACATAATATCAGGAGTCTATCAAAATTGATCAATATTGATAGACTCCTGATAATGTAGTTAAGTTAGCTACCTATCACTCAACAAACTTCAACAAAATTAAAGGCGAGACAAACAAAGAAAAAGCAGTAGCAGCAGCAGCAACATAACGTGGTCTGTTACATGCTCTGTGACAGGAAAGTGCCTTGTGTTACTGATGAATCACTGATATCAGGCTTGCTAATTCTTTCAGTAAAATTCCATTGTGATTAAAGGGACAGTAGCCTCTAGGATTTTACTGCATACAACTGTACTTACTGTATAACAAATCGTCTATACCCACATGTATTTGTCACCAGATACTTAATTAATTATTTACACATCAACGCTACAAAATTTGAACGGCGCCATGACACCAGTGCGTGCGTGCGTGCGTGCGTGCGTGCGTGCGTGCGTGCGTGCGTGCGTGCGAGTGGTAGCAGCAGTAGACAGTAAAGTAAAGGAGGACCAGGTGGTGCTGTAAACTGCTGTGTCATCGGTAAAGATATTTAGGTTATAAAACAAGATTAAATGAACTGATATGTATTAATTTCAGAAAAACTACCATCCGGTCTTGCTTTCATTTCACCTTCACCGAAATACTACAACCAACGTAATTTTTTTCGGCCTAACTTACGCGCTCAAAAAAGGCAGGAGCCGGTTGAGATGGCATGTTGAATGTGCACGCTCTAACAATTTCACATTGACCGCAGCATCCCGCCACAATCCTTTCCCTATGCTAATGTACATAGGAGTGGCGCTCGCGTCGCTGGTCGGGTTGCCAGTCAAGATAATGTTTTTAGCCCAAACATACGCGCCCAATAAAGGCAGGGGCATGCCCGGGAGAGATGTGCATGCGGGAGAGAACCCGCTATAATCCTTTCCCTATGGTAATGTACATAACATAGGAATGGCGCTCGTGGCGCTGGTCGGGTTGCCCATAGAAATCGCAACCCAATAACCCGGTTATGGGGTTGCCATTCATTGATTTCTCGCTACGCCTTCAGTGTGAAGGCTGTACGTTAGTTAGTGGCTGTATAGCTCTAGTACTATAGCCCGCTTACATTAACTGCCGCTGTTACATTACCTGCCAGCAGCAGCGGGCTATAGTACTAGTAGAGCTAGTGGCTGTACTGCTATCATACGATGAAAACACGTGGGCCAACTTTTCGATAGACCAACTTTCTCGATGTGACACCGGGTTTAATTTTTTATGACACGCGAGGAGGTTTAGCATGAGATGACCGCCGGCGCAGACTTAACAATAACAACAAAAGCAACCGCTACCCCGTCAACGTTATATTGTAGTTATTCCTCGTATACGTGTGAATACAATAGAAAGTTGATCCAACTAATATTAGAGATGGTTGCTCACGTTATTTGCATGGGATTAGCTGCCTTCATGATTTATACAGCCGTCCCCGGTTCAAGTATGCTGTGACTTGTACTGGTCACTTGGGTTCAAGGATAGAGAACATGGGTCCCAGTAAAACCAATGTCGTTTACATCAATATAAATATAATATTATATCAATATAATAGGTTAGGGTTATGGTTAGGGTTAGGGTTATGGTTAGGGTTATGGTTAGGGTTAGGCACATTGGTTTTATTGGGACCCATGTTCTCTATCCTTACTACTACTACTACTAGCAGGAGTAAGATAATATAGGATATAGGATTTTTTATAGGTATCTTACTCTTGCTACTAGTACTACATACTATTACTAGTACTACTACCCGTTTTTCTTAGTCTATGATAGTACGGTTCAAGGATAGAGATGATGTCCAGTATGGTGATAGACTAAGTAGTAAGTACAGTACAGTACAGAATAGGACTATCCTGTCCTGTACTGTCCAGTACAGTACTACTAGCAGGAGCGTATAATAATCAGAGTGGCTATTAGCTCTAGTACTATAGCCCGCGTTCATTAACTGCCACAGGCGTGCGGCAGTTAATGAACGCGGGCTATAGTACTAAAGCTATGTGGCTATATGCCCGGCAGCCGTCATATATCTGACGGCTCCCGGGCACGGTCTTCGATTTCCTAAATTCCCGGCAGTTTTTAATTTTCAGCGTTATCTCAAGTAAACAAGGGTTAGGGTTAGGAACTGCCAGGCATTTAGGAAATCGAAGACCGTGCCCAGTTGCCAGGCATATAGCCACAGCGTATAATAATAGACTATAATAGTCTATTATTATACGCTCCTAGCTGGTACTAGTATAGTAGTAAGTAGGAGTACCAGGGCGGCCGTAAAGGATCAAGGATAGCTTGGCGCCCCAGCTTGCTTGGCTGTAGCTCTAGTACTATAGCCCGCCGGCAGCTATCCGCGGGCTATAGTACTAGAGCTAGCTTGGCTGCTGCTTGGGCCGAAGCGAATCATCACAAATTGTGATTATAATTTACTCCTGCTAGTACTAGTACTTACGGAGCCCGGGAAGGGACATGGGAAAATCTTTTTTTTAATTTCGTTCCCAGGAGATATTATCTCGTTCCCTCGAGATACTATCTTGTTCCCACAATATATTATGTCGTTCCCTCGAGATAATTATCTCGTTCCCATGAGATATTATCTTCTTCCCTCGTGGAGTCGTGGTAATCATCTTGTTCCCTCGAAATGTTATCTCGTTCTCACAAGATAACAACAATTAATGCGTCTTGTTTCCACGCGGAAAGGTTCAAATGACTTCCGTTTGTGACCGAAATTTCTTAATAAAAATGTATTTTGATCTTGGAATGGCATACAAAGATATACTGCTCATACTAGGTCATCACCACGACCTACTTTTAAGTAAAAGGCAATTTTAAGTGCAGCTAATCTTTATTGTAGAAGATACAGCCGTGTGGACGCTGTATCGTACAATTCATCTACAGTCAGTTACAGGGTTCGGGCCAATTACACGGATATCGCATGATGTATGCCAAATGTCAACAAAGTGGAATTTGTGAAGAAAAGATGATGTACGATTGATATTACTAACAGTAGTAGATCCAGAAGGTGTGCAGTTAAGAAAAGCTAGACGTCTTGTCAGATGTGCCTACTTTGCGAAAGGACCCAATTACATTTGGTATGTCGATGGTACTTATGACAAGTTGAAACCATGCGGAATATGCATTGTTGTTGCACCATATAGATTGTGCATAAGCGATGCATAGACGGTTTCTCAAGAAAAATAATCTGGTTAAATGTGTACAGTACAAATAATGACCCAAAAATATTTGGAGGATACTTTTTAGCTCATCTGACATAGTCAGATGCAGCTTGTAGAATCGCACGATCGTCCGTGCGTCCGTGCGTCCGTCCGTCAACAGTTGGGCACAAATCTTAACCGCTCGACGTACGGTCACGATATTCGGCACATCGGGGGGGATCGTCAAAACGAGTTGGGATGTCGAAGCTGGGGGTCAAAGGTCAAAGGTCAAGAAGTGTAAAAGAAGGGGGAACATTCCCTCCTTATTTAGCGAGGCACGGAAAACCCGAAACGGAAAAGACTCGCTAGAAAATACTACAGAAATAGTACAATAGCTGCACGATGGCTCTCACGGCAATTACACACCAAAGCAAGTGAAACGATGTTCACAAATGTCTGGGCGATTTGTAAAAACCTTGGATGACATGTTCTCGGATGTAGGGGTGGTTTACATGAGGACCGCAGATCGTTTAATTTCCCTTGTTCGATCCATTGCGGATTTTAGTCAGTCGGAATGATAGTAAACATGGTGGCAAATTCATAAATTTGGTTGTATTCGTCTCAAAAAGTCACTGTAACCCTGTAAGTACCCAGCGCATCGTAGCGCACTGATGGTTACAAGAAGGTGGACGTATACTGATTCATTTGGTATATCACATGTGTACTGTTCTTTGGCGATACTTGGCAAATAAGGCAACTACGTGTTTAGCTGCAGCCAAGGTTTGAAACGGTATTCTAACCCTAGCAATACCGTTTCTTGGACTAACTTCAGTATAGCTCTAGTACTATAGCCCGCGGATCGCTGCCGCAGGGCTATAGTACATTCTGCCATAGATGTAATCTATCCAAATGCTCCAACTGGTCTGACCAAAAATTTATCCCCAAAACGCAAAATGATCGGGCTTTTTAACACTTATCTATCAACATGGACATCTCACCTATCTTTTTGAACACTTCCACAACTTTACACCATGTATTTATGCATTTATTCCTAAAAGTCTTAGCACTACTGGTGTTTTGTTTTCAAATGCGGTTGCTCTGCTTATGTGTGCACGCGTGACGTCACCCGAAATGTACTAGGCTGAATCATAGCTGCCCATGTCTTTTGTCTACATTTCGGGTGACGTCACGCGTGCACATATAAGCAGAGCAACTGCATTTGAAAAGAAAACACCAGTAGAGCTAAGACTTTTAGGAATAAATGCATAAATACATGGTGTAAAGTTGTGGAAGTGTTCAAAAAGGTAGGTGAGATGTCCATTTTGATAGATAAGTGTTAAAAAGCCCGATCATTTTGCGTTTTCTGAGCCATTTTTCGTGGAACCAATCGGGACCAGGTGGTGTTACGAAATCTGTGCGGGAATGTTCTATAGCCCTGCAGCAGTTTATGAACGCGGGCTATAGTACTAGAGCTATCAACCAGAGTGCTAGTAGCCCGACTGGTTGTGTTAGAATTGGTCATATATATTGCACTGAAAGGTCACCTCTGGCTAGACTGGTTCGCGGTCACACTGTTTGTCGCAGAGTGTATACATTGTCTAGCAGAGTGTAAGGCCGGGTACCAGTCTACCCTTCGGCAAAAACAATAACGTGGCTTGCTGCCAGCCACAGTAGACGATCGATAAACCGTGCGCTCGTGTATGCCCGTGGTAGAATACGAATGCTGCACGTGAACTCGGCCCACGCGCGATTTAAAGAGTGGGAAACAGCATCTATGAATTCATACGATGACACACTCTTATCTAAATAATGTTTTTCATAACAATGGTCTGGGTCTGGGCTAGTGAAAGTTAGGTTAGGGCTAGTAGTTTTCCTCAGTTACTAGCCTGATGGTCTAGTGAAATAAAAAGTTAATGTTGAACCCTGCATAAGCTAAGAGCCTTTGTACCAATATCAAACAAGAGTAACTACAACTAGTAGTAGTAGCACTACTAACTAAGTACTAGTACAAGTACAACCTACCCTACTTTTGGTTCTTAATTATATTTGAGCTTATTGGATACATTGTAGACAGGATCCTTGAGCCATATATATATACATGTATAATTATATGTCGTGCACAGCAAGCAGCAAACGTATCCCTGCTATTTATTGATGTTGTGTGTCATAATCACTTAAATTTAATTCATTCTCGTAATTTAATCTCTTGTAACTGTTGCTTTCTGTTGGCGCGATAAGTATGCCAGTACACTTATTTTTTATTAAATGTCTGTCAGGGTTACATTGCATCGTTTAAATCCATTGATTTTGTTACAATATATGTCGTGTTTGTATATTACATGGCGTATAGTCGCTTGTGTGTTATGGGTTATTTCAGACAGATATATATGCATAATTTTGTATATAGGCATTGTTTAGATAGAAATGTACATTTCGCCTGAAAACTTCAAAGTTTTCAGTTGGTAACGTGCGTAGAGTCGGGACTGTGTTCATTTAAAATTCACTACCCGAGTCTTTTATGTGTCGCGTGACATAGATTATCGCATGTGTTACGTTCTATGTTGTTCGTGCACACAGATCTCACTTATCCTTACAGTGGAGCGCTGACGTCGTCGTTGGCTGGGGATTATCTAGGCACATACCACGGGCCCTGGTAATGCCGGTCCCGGTCTCTATTCATTTAGCATTACCGAGATGTAAACTTGGATATAATTTGAATGCCGCTTTGATTATAATCACATTGATATACGTGATGATTATTCTAGGAGTGCGATGTAGTTATCTCCATCTAATATGTAATAACGACAATGAGGTTGCGTGCAGAAGTTGATGATAATCTCAACTATTCGAATCTGTTCAGTATTTTGTATTAACATAGATATTAACATTCGTTTACAGTAATAAGTGTCCCCGTTGTACGCGACCTTCACAGTTTACTTCATTATTTTCTTTATTGAGACTTCTTTCTGTGTTTATAATGTTGTGTGTACTTGCAACTCTCGTTCTGCGGTTATATATTACAAACTGGTAAGCCATTCGCAAGCACTTCTACTCCCGACTCAAAAATGTAGTTTATTCCTATTTCTATGGCATGAAATTCATTTGTTCGTAATAATTATATCTGTGTCTCATTATTCCGTTTTTGTGTCTGGGTGTGGCCACATTAGATGCGTCCGCGATATTGTAATTCCTTTAGAAACCTCTAAACTATTCTAAATCGGGTTTCATTACCATTTCACCGTTTTCGCTACGCACAAAGTTGGAATGAGATGGCACTAAAGGCGAGTGTAATGAAACTGGTACGTGTATACTCGGCCTAGTCAAGTGAGTTACGGTAAAAAGAATGTATTTATTCGGAAAATAATAAAAAAATCTAGATTCACGTGGTTTTACTCGACATAACCAATTAAAGTGTTGTCTGCCTCTAAATGTCTCATCTCGTCTTCGCATCCTCTGCTGTGATTGCTTGTATACGTGCAGGCTCCTTATAACGCACACTAGTGCGTGTGCGTGTGCGTGTGCGTGTGCGTGTGCGTGTGTGTGTGTGTGTGTGTGTGTGTGTGTGTGTGTGTGTGTGTGTG